AGGAGGAGGAGGAGAGGAGGAGGAGGAGAGGGGAGGAGGAGGAGGAGGAGGCAGGGAGAGGAGGAGGAGGAGGAGGAGGAGGAGAGGAGGAGAAGAGGGGAGTAGGGAGGAGGAGGAGGAGGAGGAGGAGGAGGAGGAGGAGGAGGAGGGGAGAGGAGGAGGAGGCGGAGAGAGGAGGAGGAGGAGGAGGAGGAGGAGAGGAGGAGGAGGAGGGAGAGAAGAAGGAGGAGGAGGAGGAGGGGAAGAGGAGGAGGAGGATGCGTTGGAGGAGGAGAACGAGGAGGAGGAGGAGGAGGTGGACGAGGGGGAGGAGGAGGAGGAGGAGGAGCAGGAGCAGGAGGAGGAGGAGGAAAAGGAGGAGGAGGAGGAGGAAGAGGATGACAATGAGGATGAGGATGAGGATGAGGATGATGATGAGGATGATGATGATGCTGATGATGATGATGATGGTGATGATGGTGATGATGATGTTGATGCTGATGCTGATGCTGATGCTGATGATGATGATGATGATGATGATGGTGGTGGTGGTGGTGGTGGTGATGATAATGCTGATGCTGCTGGTGATGATGTTGATGATGAGGATGATCCTGCTGGTGATGATGCTGATTATGCTGATGATGATGAGGATTATGATGCTGCTGCTGCTGCTTCTGCTGATGATGATGATGATGATAAAGAAGAAGATGATGATGATGATGATGATGATGATGATGATGATGATGATGATGATGATGATGATGATGATGATGATGATGATGATGATGATGATGCTGCTGCTGCGCTGCTGGATGATGATGATGATGATGATGATGATGATGATGATGATGATGATGATGCTGATGATGATGATGATGATGATGATGATGATGATGATGATGATGATGATGCTGATGCGTAATATGAATATGCTGTTTTTTTTGCCACTCGGCATCAGGACCAAACGAGCCTGCACAGCGTTACAGAACAAAGTATGGTCCGCCGCGGAGAGCCGAATCTCTCGTTAGTCCCCGCTCTTGGGGCCACGTCTCGCGGGTGCTGACACAGGGGGGCTGCGTCGCGCTGCCACGAGACGCTTCGAGGAGGCATTTATTCGACAAGCAAAAAAAGCGGCGGCCTCGTCTTCTGCTGCTGTATCGAGCTGATCGTGTCGGCCTTCGGGCCCTTCGAGATGGGGTGACCCCGAGTCGGCAGAGTCTGGCTGTGCCAGCCCTGCCGACCCCGAGTCTGCTGGCCCAGACAAGAGGACAGAAGAAGCTGAGACTGGCAGCGAACGCCCTGCGGCATGCTCCAGCTTTGAGTTTTCCAGGACTGGCGGCGCACGCCTTGCGGCATGCTCCAGCTCTGAGTCTTCTGAGACTGGCTGCGCACGTCCTGCCGACCCCGAGTCGGCAGCTGCTGGACGGGCTGGCCTGGAAGCGAAGACAGAAGCTGCTGAGACTGGCGGCGCGCGCCCGTCGTCACGCTCCTGTTCTGAGTCTTCTGAGACTGGCGGCGCGCGCCCTGTGGCATGCTCCTGCTCTGAGTCTTCTGAGGGTGGGCGCTGGTGTTGTACCTGTACACCGTGGCGGCTGGCATGGAGCGGGGGTCACCTAACAAAAATTATTGCTCGAGTGTCTCCAGCCAGTGCGCCACCCTTCCTCGAGCGATCCCGCTGGCGCCACCCCAAGGTGGTGCTGCGCCGCGCCCTCGTCGGCCAGCGCCTTCATGATTAGCTTGCGGCCTGGCCACTCTGGGGCCCCCACGATCAGCTTGGTCTTGTCCGCGTCGAAGCATTGCTCGAGTCGTATGAAGCTGATCTGCTGCTGCAGTTCGTACTTCGTGACTTCGACTTCGGCCATCTCGTCGGACGGCTGGGCCTGCTCCGGGTAGGCGCTGATCTCTTGCTTGAGTGCTCCGCCCACGTCGCACTTCAGGAGGCTCTCCAGCGCGGCGAGCCCCAATGCTGGAGCTGGGGACCCTATCTCCTTGAGCTTCTGCTTGTCCTCCGCGTCTCCGCTGCGGAGCTTGTCGAGCATGTTTTTGTAGCCCTCCAGCTCGGCGGAGATCCCGTCCACGAGTGGGTGCTTCGTCGTCATCGTGTACGTGTCGATGTTGATGCTGCTGTTGAGGCGCGTCCTGTGCGTGGTCTGGAGCAGCAGCTTGAGCTTGGTGCGTAGCAAGGCCATCGGGTTCTTGTCCTTGCTGCTCCAGACCTTGTCGCTGTGGGCCCCCCTCCTCGCCCTGCGGCCGCCCCTGCGCTTCCTCCGCATGTCGCCCTTGGCTGCCTGCTCGTCCTCGTCGACCTCGATCGCCGCGTCGACTGGCGCTCTCGGTGGCTGACCTGGCTTCATCGGCGGCTTCTGGAGGCGGGGCTTGGCCGCGGGGGGGGCTCCCTCGTCGCTCCTGGAGGCGGCGCCAGGTGCCTTGGAGCCCCTGGAGGAGTCCACCCGCGCTTCGGCTCGGCTGCTGGCTGCGCGGCTTTGGCGGTGGAGTCCTCCTCTGGTAGCGCCGCTGCTGCCGTCATCGTTCTCACGTCGTAGTACTGGCAGTGTGGGCGTCGACGCTGCGGTGGAGATGGAGCCGCCGTTGGAGTCGCTGTCGGGCGCGCTGCTGTCCGACGTGGTGGTCGAGCGACGCGTGGCCGATGCCGAGGAGCTTCGCACGTGCCCAGAATGAGGTCCGCTGCTCGGCGGAGGGCTGCCCTGGCTGCTGGGGTGTCCTCGATCACGCGAGGTGGCCGAGGCGCAGGTCTGAGCGATGCGGCTGCCCGAAGCTGTGCTGGGCCCGACTTCGTCGGGCGGGCCTCGGTCCTGATAGTCGGCTCGAGCATCGGTCCCGATGGCGACGGCGGAAGATGCGAGAGAAGATGGACTCGATACGTAGAATAATCCTGAAATTCGTGTCGGCAGACGGGGTCGAGTTCATATTCACGAAGGGGGCAGTGTAGTGCACGTATAACCTGGTGCCATGGATATACATGATGCGTGAGCGCCGCCATGCACCTACCAGCAATCCATGCACGTCGTACATGTCGTGTAGCATGCTCTTGATATGGGAAAGTAGTCTGGCACGCGATACATGTGCTGTCGACCTGTAATGTTGTGAGTAGTGATGGCATACCGTGTCCGCCTCCCCCGGGGTTTTGACCGATGTGTAACCAACTGTCTGAGAGTCCCAAACCGTAACCCACAAGAGGGAGTTTGACACACGAATGGGCGATTGTTTTCGTCGTCGCCGTCCGTCTCGTCGCATTAGGTCGTCGAGGGGATGGAGGAGGCCAACATACTGGTCCCTGGTGGTGCCCATTGTGAGGTCCAGTAAGAGGCTCTGGGTGCACGAACGTCGCAATACTGGACGGCGCTCCGAACATACTCATCTTCCCAGAAGTTTTTGACAACGGGCGGCTGCCACACCTCCTGGAAACTCTCGCCGATGGGGTGCGACGCCAGGCACGACAGGTCATCCGCGAGCTGCGTGGCCCACGGGTGAGCACTCGGAGCAGCGGAGACCCCACCCTGCCCGTTGAGGGTGGAAGCATTGACTGGGCGGTGACGTATGGCCGCCTGCTGCTCGAAGCGGCATCGTCCCAAAAAGGTAGCATGGAGCTGGCTGTGGTGGCTCGGGTTCTGCACGATGCTCTGCCACCAGTTTAGTCTGCGCGCGAGTAGTTCGATGGCCGACGGAGCAATCTGCCACTCTTGAAACACCTGATGGGTTGTGAGAGAATAGTGGGCGTCCTGCTCATCGAGGTGGTGCGCCGCACCTCTCACCATAGCTCGAAGTTTCCTTGCACGCGAGTTGTCTAGACGATGTAGTTCCCGTGTGCTAAGGGCGTAGCTTTCCAGTCCAGACCACAGGCGTTTCGCGACGTTGGACGCAAACGGTAGCCGTTTGGCCTTCCAGGGGCCGCCCGAGAACCAGTGGTCTCCAAGACGTGTTCAGCCTACGTTCCCAGATTGTGTTCGCGCTGCAATTTCACGACGGTTATTGTTGGCCACATTGACGTCGCCCCCCGAGTGAATCAGGTCCTGGACCGCGTTGCCCGATACGTTACGCTCGACGTCCCGAGTGGCCCCGTGTATGCCCAGAGAGACCAGGGTGTCCTGCTTGCCTGTGTTCTGGGCGTAGCCTCCGAAGTCCAGGGCCTGGGAGAGGGAGCGGTTGTCGAGCGCATCTAATTTGAGGGCCTGGAGCGCGGTGCCGTCGGGCACCAGAAGGACTTTTAAAAAGGTCATCGATGAACGCGCCAATGCGCGCGTCGTAGCTCTCGGTCGAGAAGGGGCGCATTACTTGAAAAAGGGCCCCCTTGGACTTCGGCCATTTCCTCATTCCATCTGGTCGCCGACGGGTAAAAAGATCCCATGAATAATTCAGGTTCGTTTGAATCCCCCATCTTCCCCCCCGTGCCTGGTCGAAGAGCAAGGGAGGAGTCTGAAGCCTGGAGTTACACTGCCGCCTCCTCACGATGCTGCTCGAAGAGTGGCTGAAAGTGATCGTCTTCGCACCGAACAGTGTGCGCGGCGATGAGACGCATGTGATGTCCCGTCGCAAAAACATTGCGCATGTCATAGGATTTGGCCAGGAATGCCAAACGCGCAGCTCGCAGCTTCCAGTTCAAGAGCTTAGCTATCAGCATGAGGGCCTCACGGCGTCTGGAATGGATCCCTCCGTAGGCCCTGTCGGGGGGGGGGGGGGGGGCGTGTGCGGCGCCATATTGTAGCAGTCCGACGCGGAGATACAGCCGCCAGAAGTGATCAAAACAATGAAGTAGCAGTACGCATGATTGAATGTCGGCGATGACGTCGCCAGCGGGGGGGGTTCCTTTTTTCTCCAATCGCCACTGCTTGGCTCGTGTAGGCCTGAGCTGGGAGAGATCCGCTGTGGCGAACGTGGGCAAGTAGAGTGACGAAGGCCTGCGCGATGTAGCACTGGTCATAGTCGACATTAGGCTTGCGCTTGCGGGGCCGGCGCGGCTGTCGGGCACGAGGGCCGGCATGCTCGTGGTCAGCGCTGGCGCGTCAAATTCCAATGCGCTGCGCGCCAGGTCGCGTGATATACTGCGGGTGCAAGGGCAGGATGGTGACTTCCAACGGCCATCCCCATGGCGGGTTGTAGCGTCGGCGCCTCGCTTGCCACAACCGTTTCTGGATGTGCTCCAGCTCCTCGGCCGCTGCCGTGATGTCCTCGATGCTGGGGGGGGGGGGTCCCGTGATCTCGCCAACCGGCGCCAGTTGGTCGTCACTGCGTGCGAGGAGGCGCTCGATAGACTTGGGGTCGTCGAGGTAGAGGCTGACGTGAGCAGACGTGGCGGTGAGGCCCCCCTCTCGTGGAGTCGGTGGCGAGCGCGGCGGTGCACTCGGCAGCGGTGGGGCGCGTGGAGGGGAGCGACAGGTGGGAGCGTCGTCGTGGTGCAGTGCGGCGACCCGCGCGTAGGCAGGGAAGGTGAGCCACTCGTGCAAGGTCGCGGCAGGCCCATGAGTAGCGCATATCCTGGTCTATGCTCACCTTCCACCAGTGGGCCATCCATCGTTGGTGATTCCGCAGCTGGAGCTGGATGTTGCGGAGACCGACGTTGTTGAAGGGTAAGCATTGAGCTCGTAGGTGGGCGCGGCGCTTGAGTAGTTCAAGCCGATCTCGTCGAGCCTGCGGATACCAGTGTGGTTGGTGGCCCTCCCTGGTGAAGTAGCGGCTTACACAGGTCCTGATGATGTGGTTGAGAAGCGCGTTGTGGCGGGTGGTGAACTGGTCCATCTTGACGACGCGGAAGAGCTCGCGGTGGTGGTTGATGTGGTGAGCAACGTCGTGGATGAACTCTTCGCGCATCTCGCCTGTCTGCAAGCGTGCAGCCATGATGCCGTGGTCCCATTTGATCGGGCTCTGGGTGGGGCAGTCGGAGCGGAATGATATCTTGATCTGCGTGAGCATCGGAATGTGGTCGGGTGCGTGGAGGAGGGCGCGAAGGCGGCTGTGGATCTTCCAGTTCAGGCGGGCGTACTTGACGATCTCGAGGATGGTGTGGTGGCCGATCAAATAGTCGATGCGGGAGCGGGAGTGTTTCGGGCCGTGTTACGTGTAGCCCACGTCGGTGTGCGCATTGATGGCGGTGAGTTCGTGGTGGAGCAGCTGGTCGTGGACGTAGCGGCCGAACTCGGTCTCGTCGTGGGCCTCGTGGTATCCGATGGCGTCGTCGGTGTGGAGGCGTCGTGCGCGGCGTCCGAGGCCCTGGTTGAGGTCCGTGAAGAGGAGTGGTGCGACCCTCGTCGGCGTAGTAGTCATGCAAGTCTGTGCCCAGGTCCATAGTCGTCGGCATCCCAGATTCCATTGGGCGTGGTGACCAGGCCCGCTGGGGCGTGGAAGAAAGTAAGCGGCCACGATGCGAAGGCGTAGTTGACCTCGGTGAAGTTCGATGGCGCCCGCTCGGCCCCGCAAGTCGGCCGTATGTGGGTGGGGAGTCTTGACGATGTCCTGGCATCGGAAGTGGCGCTTGGCGATCGCGATGCCGCATCCCGCCGAGCTGTTCGCGTGGGCGCCACGCCCCCCAGCCGAAGTGTACCCATGTGTGGTGGATGGAGTCCTCAACGTGGTGTGGGGCGTCGGCGGTGCGTTGTCTGAGCTTGGTGCCGGCAAAAATAAGCACCTGGATGTGGCGGCACGTGTCAGAGATGTGGTCCAGGCGGCCAGGCTCGCCCTTGGGGGGGAATGGGTCCCAGCCCATGAAGGTGAGCGGCTTGGTGGAGCGGTGTTGGGGCGTGGGATCCTGGCCGTCGTGGGCGTCATGCTGGGCGTGTGGGCGTCGGGCACCTCTGGGCTGAGCGGCTTGGTGGAGCGGTGTTGGGGCGTGGGATCCTGGCCGTCGTGGGCGTCATGCTGGGCGTGTGGGCGTCGGGCACCTCTGGGCTCGAGGACGGCTTAACCGACGTGAACTCGGCGTGGATCGCATGCTGACGTCGGAGTGGTGGTTGGGCCCTGGCCGTGGTGGAAGTCGTTGTGGTCTGGGGCTCGTCTGGGTCCCCGTGCTGCTTGAACTTATAGTCCCTGGCGTTCGTAGCTGGCAGCTCGAGCATGGTGAAATTCGAGTTCCCGTCCTTCGCATCTGCATTCACCAGCGGGCACACATTCACGTGCGGAGGGTTCGGGAAATCGACGTCCAACGTGATGACCTCTAGGTTCGTGCCGAGGATGTTCGGCATGGGCGGTGAGGATCGGCTCAGGACCTGTGGGTACACACACACCATCGAGGGTTGCGAGTAAATCTCGTGTAGCTTGCCCGACATACACATGTGCAGCGGGCTGGTGGTCATCACGTTTTGGGCCGTCCTTCTGCACCCCCTGGTGCGCCTCAGGCGCGCGGTGCCCGCGCACTGGAGCACCGTGCGCGCGACATGGCGTCCTGAGCGGGGTGCCGTCGACGGCCCTCCGCCTCCGCGGGGGGGGGGGGGGGGCGGCTGAAAGGCCGCTGTGCCTGCAAAGGCCTGAGCGCGCGGCGGCCTTTGATTATAATGGTGATGGTGGTGATGGTGGTGGCGATGATGGTGATGATGCTGCTGATGATGATGCTCATGGTGACGATGATGAAGAGGAGGAAGAGGAGGAGGCGGATGATGGTATAGAGGAACGTATGAGGAGGCGGAGGCGGAGGAGGAGGAGGAGGAGAAGGAAGGAAGGACGAGTAGGAGGAGGAGGAGGAGGAGGAGGAGGAGGA